CTGCATTAAGAATGGAACTTTGTTTATGCCATGAGAAGTCAAAAGAAAATAAAACCTCTTAAATAAATGCATGTCTGTAGTAGCTATTAAGTATTTTAAAGCATCATTCCTAAGTAATTGCTAATTACATTACTTTATTACAAGGCACAATTAAACATATTCTTGAAGTCATTCAGCTATTTGCCATTTCAAGGAAAGCACTTGAGTCAAAAGGATTTCCTAAATGGTGTAATTCAAGTGTTTTATTTCTCCAACTTCAGGAATTATTTTAGGCATGAATAATTGGACATTGAATAACCAGTTAAATGTAATTTCCATAAATTGTTTGCGCTTTACATAAAACAAATAAAATGCTTTATATGGTGCTTTTGTTCTCTCTTTGAGACATCTTGCACTAATGAGTTTTGCACCAGTGGCACTGTACTTTATTGGCAGTTTGGTCTAGGAGGACTTGTGTCTTTCTATTTTCAAGCAGACCATTCACACAAACCAACACAGACATACGCTGATTCTCACTTTCAGTGAAATTAAAAGGAACTGTATAAAGGACTTACAGATAAACCTGAAGGTGAGAATCTCACAGATTGTAAGGTAAGCATGTAAAAGTAAGGGCTGGTTCCACTAGGCACCATTTAGAGACAGTGGAAGGAACTGAATGGTTCGAGTGCAGTTTGTCCTCTCTGATGACCCTCTAAAAATGGTAAATAAGAGAAATAAATAAATAGGTAAAATGTGAACCTCTAACTTCCAGTATCTAAAGCTGAATGACTATTTAGCTGCATCACAGGCATTTGTTGTTCCAGTCAAAGCTGACAGTCACGATCCTCAAAATTCATGCCTAAGTATGACCTGTCAGTGGAGAAACCTGTCCTCACTACATTTCCAAGCTCTTGCATTTACAGAGTTGAGCTGAGTTGGCATCTCAACCAAAATCCTGATGCCAGCACATTTCACTCTCCTTGGCCTTCTTCAGCAGGCAATCCCAGAAAATACTGTACTTGCCCAACTTCAGGCAGTGCAGATACAGACGATGTCTCTGCCTTTTTGATTCAGGTCATCAGTGGGATGTGGAAAACCAAGGCTAGAGTCCCTGCTCTCATAAATATTGATTGATGTAACATGGGAAAAGTCTGATCAAGAAAGCAGAAAAACCTTTCCTGTTAATTTTATGCCCCATCTTCTCATAGAGAGACAGACTCCTGTCAAATTCTTCTCCAAATCAAGTAGAAGAGAGGCATGAACTTGTACCTTTAGAAGAAGAAAGCATTTGCACGACAAAAAAAATTCTCATCCCTGATGTCTAAGGCAAGAAGAAACTTCATCAGTTCTTAACCTTGTGAGGATGCCTCTGCATCGCTGCCTTAATATCCCAGACTGTGAAGTATCTCAGAGAGGCCCAGTTGGCCTGGTTTCAAAATGTCATAGATACCTGCCTTTTGGGTACTTCTCTCTCCCATTACACTATGTAGATAGCCAGAGCTTCTATTACAGGGACACACGAAGGAATTGGGCAAAGCAACACTAAACTCTAATTGCCATCATCCATGCAATGCTTTTGTCCTCTGTGTCTGCATCTCTGGCCAAGACAAGCTCACGTCATAGGCAGAGATCTATTGGAGCCTCTACCTATGACAAGAATGGGCAAAAGGTTTATGGTCCAAAAGCCAGCAAAATTGGCTATTTGTGATGAGTCAGCTTTGAGCTGGACTGAAGAAGTCTTATTCACCAACAAGGAAGTAAAAAAACCCAACAAAATAAAAATAAATAAACACCCCCTCCCCATCCAGAAATTAACATTTCAGGGTTCAAAAGCTAACTGCCAACAACTGGATGAATGAAGGGATTATGGCTGACAGGAATAGGCTCTTCTTACTGCCCAGGTACTATAAAAACTTCTGGAAGTTGAAGGATAAGGGATCTCCTGGGGAAGCTTGTGTGGTGTGTCTGGTCTCTGACAAAGCATCAAAGGGTAGCATGGTTAAGTGAATCTGCTCCAGTATCCCTCAGTGACTGACAGGACAGACAGAAAAACGAAAAGTGAGTGTATACATGCATGCAAACACAAAGACAACAAGGTGGCACATAATTTTCTTTCTCCTTTAGAGTTCTTCGGCTGATGTGTGCTGAGGGAGATATTACTACAAATTCAAAGGGTGCTATTTTTATTTGACTTGTTTAACTCCGCTGAAAAATCTCCTGCCTGGATCTCAGCTCGCCAAATGCCACCCTTAAACTGCTGCCATGCAATGAGCTGGCTGTAGCCACCAACATTACAAGTCTCCGTCTCCAGCTCCACTGCGAAAATACAACTCTCTGGAATGTACTTCATCTTATTGCCTTCATATACTTAACCTTTAATTCTCATAGTATTTCAATCGGATCTGAGAGTACTAAAGATAAAAATGTCTTTAAATTATATCATTACTTATTGTTGCATTACCACTAGGTGGGTCATCATCATCATCATCATCATCATCATCATTATCATCATCATGGCTGGGCTTCGCTATTACTACTAGGCAGGTATCCCCCCAAAAAATCCCCAACCTAAAACAAATCAAACTTAAATAAATAAAATCAAAGCCTCCTGCTCTCTGCTTTGATCTGTCCCTGTTCTGCTGCTCTGGACATTTAAACACCATACACTGAAAACAAAGAGCTGAACAGCAAGTGAAGCACCTGGTAAGAACAGCCTCCAAACTCATTAACAAGAGAGGGCAGGTCCATAGTGGGCAAGATGGACCGGACCATTTGTCCCCACCGAGCCGTGGAAAAGATGTGTGGTGTGTGTCCAGTGAACTGAATATCAGTTCGAGGAAATCTCCTGGCTTAAGAGACAGAGCAAGGTTTGTGTAATACTCCAGTCCCATTTTCAAGCCTCTGAAAAAAGTAGCAAGCAAGGATCCTCTCAAAATCCCTGCTGGGGAGGATGTCGTTAATGCCATCTGGGTGATAGCTTTGCTTCAAACTGCAGCGACTGATGTGCCAACTTTAATTACCATCACGGATGTTTCCTGTGTGGAACACACAGGATTGTCCATGCCACTATCTGTTCCCAGGGTCACACTCTCCAGCCACTCGCTACCTAAAGAACCTCCTTCAGCTGCAGTTAAAAATAGTGAGCCCTGAAGCGCAGCAGCAGTGGAAGAGAGATTAGCCTCTCCTGAACAATTTTACTTCCAAGCAGATGTTGGCGGCGGGATTAGCATTTAGGCCCGGCTTCTCTCGATTTATTGCCGCTTCTCGCTTTTCCCTTATCCACTTGGTAACACGCACTTTGGAATAACCGCCCCCGGCCCCTCCGGCCCCTCTCAGTCCCTTCCCGGCCCCTGCTACCCCGGCGCCGCTCCGACGGGCCCCTAGCGCAGCCACCTCCCCTCCGACCCCCGGTACGGCGGGCCCCGCAGTGCCCTTCCGCCGCCCGGACGA